TTCAAACAACCCAAGGTATCAGTGCAAGTAAATCTGCAATTGCATGGTTCTAAAAGGGGACAAGAAATAAGTTACATGGTGAGAGCAGCCTTTCTTTCCTCCAGATATTATCCTTATTTTCTCAATGAATCTTTCTCCATGTCTCTTCTGTCCTTTGGGTTTGCAGCTTCTGCATGTCTTAGCATTCTTTTGTATTTCTAATTTCTCTTCCCCTTTCCATCTTCCCTTCCCCTCTCCCTTCTTCTCTGGTTTTCTTCCACACCTCTTGTCCTCTTGAGTGTCACTGTACCTTTTGGCTTTGAGGACCATAGGACTGCCCCTGGGGTTGAAAGGCAGTACAACAAAAAGTTGTTGCCTTCCCTCCATAAGCAAGAGCTGTAAAAATCCAAAGTGGAGGATTAAGATACTCATTATGGAGACTGGGAGTCAAGGATATCCTGTTGACATGTGCTACTAGTATAACCACATGTTCTAGCTGAAAATATAACCCAGTAGTCAGTTATTTTTTTAATTTAAATGTAAACTGCAGAACTACTCCTATAAGCTACAAAAATTCTAGACACCCATGCAAATTTGTCATGTCTTTTTTAAATAAATGGTTACAATTTTCTTATGTATTAATACATTTTGATTTACTTTGAGTTATAGATTTATAGAAGTATTCAGCAAACAAACAAACAAAAAAACAAACAGATTTTGGTAGGATTTTGTAATATAAGCCCTTGTATTTTTAAAACATCTAAATGAAATTTAACTCAGTGATTACTTAACAGTGATTACCACAGGTTTCCCATTCAGAATTCACAGTCATCCATAGTTTGTAGGATTGAAAGTTTGCCAAATTATTCAGAATCGTCTTATTTAACACTCAATACCTCAAGGGAAATGCAGTGAAAGCGTACAAGATAAAGTCTCTATGAGACCTTAGAGGGATATATTTTTTCTTAATCTTTGTTACTGTATGTATGGAGTTGGCTTCTGTTGTTTGAAAAAGGGTTTTCAACTAAGTACTATCATTCACTGTGGACTAGACAGATTAAACTTCCATATAGTGGATTGTATTTTCCTTCATGCACCTTGAATTCAGCTCCTAACTTCCTACTTTACTCGAGACCCTGAGTCATCCCAGTCATCATTTTAACAAAGAAAATCTCAATCACTTAAATGACTACTACCTGTACACTATCACCCATAGAATCTGGTTAATTCCCAAATAGCCAAATTGACTTGTGTGAGAAAAAAAAAAGAAAACAACCAGCTCTAAAATATTGGCAGCTTACAAACAGACCACTCAGGCCTTATGAAAAGAAAACAGCCAAAATAGTGAAAGGAGTAGAAATAAAGCCAACTCAACATGTTTGAGTGCCAGAGGAATTTTTCAGGTAATGGCTTGTAAAACGAAGGGCACCTTTAGCGTGACAATCTTCATTCAATAACCTAAACCTTTCCTTCAGGAAGTAACAATTCTCAGGAGCTTCAAAGGAATACATATCAAATAAAATTGTAAGTGTTTTTCCTATAAATGAATTCAGTACTTGTCATGTTCAATTTTATCTCTGTTTTTGTTTTCTTACTTCAATATATAACTTCAAATCCTCTTGTGTAATTAGATGGGATTTAAATTGTAAATACATTATGAGAGAAAGAAGTAATATTTTAAGTATCTTGTGTGTATTAGGTAGTTCATCATTTAATCCTCTTAATGCCCTTAAGAACTATTCACACTTATAAAGGCCCAAACTGAGGCTTTGCAAAGTTGTGAGACTTTCAAGTTTGCACTGCCTATAGGTGATGGAGCTCATCTCTCACCTTCATTCATTTGAGTTTAGCATGCTGTCTTTATACTAAAAAAAATTACTTTCATTTTAAAATTATATCATAATACAATATTGTCATGTACTTAAATATGTATAATAAACATATTTGTGTGTTTAGCAAAAGGGTCCGGTTCTAATCTTCTTTGACAGTATTTGAGCATAGAAAAAGCATCTCTGTAATTCTGCATTGAAGTTCCAGTTTATATTTTAGTACAGTTGATTAATTTAGGTACATTATAACAAGTGTTTCCCAGGTTGAAAATTCCCCTATCAAGGCGATCTGTACCTATTCCTATGGAAAAAAGCAGCCACCTGGCATTTCCTATTTTTCTTGTGGTCTTATTTACTCATTGTACTGACTGCATTACAACCATTTAGTTAGCCATTTGTTGTTTTGAATGTGTGTGTGTGTGTGTGTGTGCGCGCGCGCGCATGCCACAGTGTGAGTTTGAAAGTAAGAGGACAATTTAAGGATCAGTCCTTGTCTTTCATCTTGTTTGAGACAGGATCCCTTTGTAGCTGTGTAGGCGAGGCAAGCTGCCCTTTGAACATCTAGGGATACTGATTTTTCCATATCTGTCCTTGTTAGGTTACTATTGTTTTAGAAGTTTGTAATCAGAAGATTTCTCCAGTCCTGCAAGGCCCCCGCAGTCCCGTCGCCCACTTATAAAATTATCACTCAGAAACTTATATTAATTATAACTGCTTAGCCATTAGCTCAGGCTTATTACTGACTAGCTCTTATACTTAAATTAACCTATAATTCTTATTTGTGTTTAGCCACGTGGCTTGGTACCTTTTCTCAGCAATACCCTACTCCTGGTATCAATTTCTGTCTTAGGGTTTCTCATGCTGTGGTAAAATACCATGATCGAAAGCAACCGGGAGAAGAAAGGGTTTATTTCATCTTACATTTCCAGGTGGCACTCCATTAATGAAGGAAGCCAGGATGGGAACTCAGGGCAGGAATGTGGAGGTAGGGAACTGAAGCAGAAGCCATGGAGGAGTGCTGCTACTTACAGGCTGGCTCCACATGGCTTGTCCTTCAAAGCCTGCTTTCTTATACCGTCCAGGAGCAGAGGCTGAGGGGTGACACCACTCTCAGTGAGCTGTGCTCCTCATACATCAATCAGACATCAAGAAAATGCCCTACAGCTTTCTGTTCAGGAAATCTGATAGAAGCATTTTCTCAAATGGGGTTCCTCTTCCCTAGTATCTCCAACTTGTGAAAGGCTGATAAAAGAAAATCTAGCCAGGACAACATCCCATATCACCATAGCCACACTGGGATCACAGAGGCATCAATCATGTTGATTCTGGGGATCAAACTTTGGTCCTCATGCTTACATGAAAGGGTTTTATCGACTTAGTCTTCTCCCCCTAACCCTCGTCAGCCATTTGGCAGAGCAGACTAAAGTACTTGTGGCTGTGCAGAATCTCTGATGAGAAATTAATATTCTAAGTTATATCACTTAAGCACCAGTGTGTTTATTGCACTACTTGTGTATTTGGGCACTTAAAATTTATATATGCATTTATATAAATACATACATACATATATATATGTAAAATTTATATATATAAAATTCTGTCTTAGAAATATTTGTTAAGAGCTTTCAAGCAAGGCTTAGGAACAGATCCTTCCTGGTATGTATCATGTTTGCCTTCAACAAAGGCAGAAATTTAGAAAGGAGGCTTCGTTCTTTTGATGCTCACTCCTCAGCTGAGTCCTTATAGATACAGACAGGTCTGAGCCTGCATTGATAGCCAGGTCCATCCCTTAGGAATTGAATCTCCTGATTCCATTTGACTCAGTTTTCAAAATTACAGCAAGTATCATAGCTATCCCTCAGCGTCTTGTGAATATTAAAAACTTCAATGCATGAAATATGCAATGTATATCATTTTTGGCATGCTGTAAGCATATATAAATATCATGGAGAGATTAAGTGTGTCAAGCTCCATTTTGGTCTTCTCAAGCCCCACCTTCTTCCAGCTCACTGAAAAAGGAATTTATATGCTACCTATCAAGTCTTGTTCCCATGAGGAAAAAAATGAAAATATGGGCTTATATTTTCTGGGTATATTGCCTGAATGCCATGTACTAGTCTGTCTGTTTTGCTCTTTCCATACTTGAATACACTCCTGAATCATCTGTCTGAGGGTAACAAATAAAAGAAAATGCTGTAATGAATTAAGGCTAAATTCTATTTGATATGAAGATGTAGGCCTGGGAGGCAGTATGTATAAAACTCTGATTGTTCCATTTGCTACACTGTAATTTGCCACAGAGAACTAATTTTCAAGAGTTTTAAAACTAAAAACCTCCCAGAAAACAGGCACGTCTGCTGACATTTGATAATATCTAGTTGCTAGTGAGATTTTCAAAGTACTCATGCCTGGGTCAATTCCTACATCAAAAGACACAGCAAGAGCTCTTGAGTTGGCAATTAATAATAAAACTTTATGGAAGTGGTTCATGTGGCATCATGTGATAGTTACTCTTTATAGTTCATGGCTTCAATGCTATTGGTTAATTAAAGACATTGCTGAGGATGGGAAAGAACTTGGAAAGGATTGTGGGCCTTTTGTTTTTGATTCTCTTGATAATGAGCTCAGAGATTCAAGAGAACCTTTCAAGTTTCTAGACAACTGAATATATTTTACCTTTGGCTCATTATTTACTTAACTCTAGGTCATTTATTTTGGCAGGAGAAATGCACCTGTTCAATATAAAAAGGCCTATAAATTTCAACCTTTCTTTATTGCCCTACTATATCATTGGAGAGATTTTGTTAAATGCAAAAAAATGATAATTCTCTGCAGATCGGGGTCCCCCTCAGCTTCCATGATTTTAGTTTCCATAATTTAAAGTGCACATTGAAAATAAATTGCTTTATTTGATTGCCTGTAGATTTTCCATAATGTAATCCAGTAGAGATATCTGACATTGTATATACATCTGTGAAAAATAATATTTCCATAAATAGCACTGAAGATAACAGAATCTGTGAGCTCATCATCTTAAAGATGTCACCTCATAACAGTTTCCTCACTGCATAAAAATATTAATTTATAATGCAGAATTATGAATTATGCATGTAAAGGATAGATCTAGCTATTTTAGTTATGGGATGTTAAATTTATTAATTTTTTTCATCTTCTCCTGCTTTGCATGCACAGGACAAAGCCCAGCCTTACCACCACCATCACTGAAAGCACCAGTTTCTAGACCTGCTCTGTCAACACCGGCTCCTGAAGGCAAGTACTTAGATTTGTGGTGTATCCCCCTCCACACACACAAATAGTTCCATTGTAGAAGTAAAAGAAGGAATGTACAAAAACAAAAGAAAATAACAAAATTAACAAAAGGTCCAGCATTTTCTTGCATAAATTTCCTATTCATAAGGCAAAATTTTGTTTTCTTGAAATTTCAATTGATGTCTTTCTAGAAAATAAAAATGTCTTCTTAGAATTTCATATGGCTGAACTCTGTCTTCCTGGAGGAAGATCAGCTTCCTGTCCTGAAAGTAAAGTAAAAAACTATTGGCACAATGCGCAAGAATATGCCTTGCCATTCTGCAGTTTTATCATTGCTTGGATAATTGATATTTAAAGACTCAGGTGACAGAGTCTGAATTTGAGTTCCATATGTTATGAATTATCCAAACTTGGGAGTTATTGAAATTGACTACTCATGAGTTCTGCCTTCTAGATGCTATTAGATTTCATGAGCAGACTGCACTTATGAAAAGGATGCAATTATATTTAGTTTGTAAGTGTTGTATGCAATTAGTAATCATAACTAATAGTAATTCTTCAAAATAGGACCTTTGAAGGACAAAACAACAACTACAAAAACAAAAAACAAATAACATAAAAACAAAATAAACAAAATTCCCCAGCAAAATAAGAGAGTAAATCACTGTAATCAGTTTTGTTGGAAACTGACTTATTTCTTCAAGTCTTTCTTTCTTTTTTGTTTATATATTTATTTATTTATTTATTTATTTATTTATTTATTTATTTATTTATTGTTTTTTTGAGACAGAGTTTCTCTGTGTAGTTTTGGTGACTGTCCTGAATCTTGCTCTGTAGCCCAGGCTGGCCTCGAACTCACAGAGATCTGCCTGCCTCTGCCTTCCTAGTGCTGGGATTAAAAGTGTGTACCGCCACCACCCGGCTTTATTTTCATAATTTTATAAAGTAAATCCCAACAAGGAGATCATGTAGGACACTTCCCTAATTATCAGAAATCCACTCGTTAATTAAAAATACTATTCCTGCCATTATAATTCAGTTCAGTGATGTAAAGTACAAATAATTAACATTAATGTGTGACTAGTGTTTTATGATGATACCAACAGAGTCATCATCCCTTTCTACCTTCCATTTCCTCCATTCTGAAAAGGACCATGTTTGTGCACAGACATGCCAACCTCCTTATGTAAATTCTGCCCACACTGACTAATTGCTGCCCATTGCTTCTGGTTTCTACACATGGTCACGACAGGCTCACACTGGTGAGGCTTCACCAAAGAAGTGCCTATGTAAAAGGGGGAAATATTAGGAGCCCAGGTTTTATGCTTTAAGTTTGATGTCATTTCACATGGTTTTCTGATGCAAACAGTGTGTTTTGGTGGTAGTCAAGACTACCCTAACTGAAATTCTCAGAATTGAAGGCACATGCACATAATCTTATATTCCTGTAAAAACATGGCTTCTGATTCAGTAAGTTTAGGTTAGAACCTGAGTTTCAGCAGTTTTACCAAGTATAGCTGATACTGCTATTCCAGGAATACATTTGACTGTCAAATTCCTATCTGCTCTAAACAACCATGTGTTTATACGAATGCTACTGATTTAACTTAGTGACTTGGAAACTTTGACTCAAGATTGCTTTCAGAGTGACTAGAATGTCACTTACATAGACAATCTGATTTCTCATTGTCTGACTAAACATCAAATAGTTCAAGGTAAGTATCAAACTCCTTTATTATATAGATAAATGTCAGTAGAAAGTAGAGAAGATGTCGCATGTTCTTTATGAATTACAACAACCTGTTATACAGTATATAAATATTTTGGCTTGGTTAGCTAAACAAATTGAATGAATTATGGATTTTAAGTTATAAACAAAATTCCTAAGCAAGCTGTAAGTGAGCATCACATTAATCCCAAACTAGGAAACAAAAATATGCTTTCATGTGATTGTTAGAACCTATGTCTTAGTAGAAATTTCATGAGTACCTTGCTCACACTCTTCAGGGACATTCCAGAGTGTTTAGTGTGTGCTAAAAATCTGGTCAAAGGTGTCAAACTCTTGTTTTCTTGTTTCCTATTCCCTTCAGCGACAAGATGTTTTGTTTTGCCCACATACTTATTTTTCAGTGTGAATATTCTGGCTAGAACAAGATACTATGGTCTCTAATAACTCCCATGTCTTAATACCAACTCCTCAACTTGACTCCAGACATTGCTTCTTTGTGAGTGAAAAATGTGTTAAGATCATTTCTATTGATGTGTACATTGACCTAATCAACCATGTTGTCTGAAAAGCCAGGAAAAGTCTTATGAAGGCACAGGAGACTGGGTAGCTTAAATAATATTTTTCTATAATTCTGGAGGCTTGAAGTCTAAGATTAGAGTTTCAGCCCAGACAGGTCCAGAGGATCCTCTTCTAAGCATCTCTCTCAGTACTTGGTCCCAAATGTAGAGAAGAGTCATGTTCTAATGTCCCTCTTCCTATAGTGGAGGCAGGTCTATGAGGATTCTGCCCACATGAACTCATTCTACCATAATCATCTTCCTAAAAGGCTCCATCCTTAATAGATACATTAAGACTCAGTATTTCAGCATGAAACCCTTGACATAAATGATGACATACTCATTTTGCAGCAAGCCTTGGTAAGTTTTGAGTTTAGTTAAAACAATGTAAATGTCTACCTTAGGCTATTGGGGTTACTTAAATGGTTTTAAGAAGCCAATTGCTTTGCCTTTATTCTTTTTTAGAAACAACATGAATTCTAATCTTCATCATTTTTCTGTACTTCCTTTTCATTTGGTGTAAGTTAAGAGTTTATACTGAAGTTAAATAACAAGCAAACTTTGAAAATCTCAACTATCATTGTATGCCTCTAAAGAAAAGGAAGACAAGGGACTTAGAACAAATCGTCAAGAACTCAGAAACACAACTCCCAAGAAATAATATAAAGGAGAAAAATAACATGTATATTCTTTTTCACATACGGGATTTAATAGTTCAAGTGACTTGGATACTTTACACAAACTGTCGACAGCCATCTCCATGCCTAATGCTAGCAGGACAAGCTACAGCTTGTAAATATTAGTATCATCATAAATGTCATTGAATTCTAAAGAGTTGGACATTAATCAAATAATTCAGATTTCATAACTGTAGGCATTCTTTGGTAATAAGATTCTTTACATGTTTGGCTCTAATTGATCTCCTGGCAGAAGTTCATAAAAAAAAAAAAAAAAACAGGAAGCAAATGTTTTGCCTTTCACCTTGACTCCTGGAAATCGATATGTCATTTTTACAATGGGATGCTGTACTTCTTTTGTCACAATTGAAGGATGATTAATTTGACAATTCATCCCAGATTCCACATTATGTTTATGTGAATAAAATAACAGTATTTCGGGACCGTGGGCCTTTTGCAAACAGGAACTGCTTGTGTGCACAGAGGTAGGGTCCTCTTATTGAGGTTTCTAGCACTAAAGAACTCCCAAGAAGCACACGGTATCCAGACAGGCTGAGCTCAGCATCTTTTTCAGGCATTTCAGATGTGCTGCCTATGACTTCATTAACATAATTGATTAGGAACTAGGACATATTTAGTATTAATCAAGCTGTTTTTAGTGAAGCTGATTATGCCGGTCCTCTTGATGCACTATTTTGGTCTGGAACTTCCTTAGGAATAACTTGAAAGAAAATGGCTTTGTGTGAAAAAGAAAATCTTGCACGTGGCACTGAAGTGTACCATTTGTTCTGTAGAATGTGGGTAAATTGTAGAAGTGTAAACATGTTACAATGTTAATGTTTTTAAAGTAGTGCCCTTTATAGAGATACTAGATTATTACCTTCGCTCAAGGAGTTTGGAAACAACTTAGAACTTTTTCAATAGAAGCCTAAAAGCTTGTCAACCTTGCAGATAAAACTCTACATATCTATAAAGCTTTTTTTTATAAAAACAGTCTTTGTGTTTTCATAACACCTTGACAATTAGTTTCTTGCAGCAGGTACTTGTTAGAGGGAAATCATTGTACTTCCTATGTCAGGCCACTCATTTAGTGTCGTGAAGTTGTACCTTGCCTTCCTTGATTACTGTGTTCTCTCTGGCACATGCTTTATATGCTGCAATAAAGTTTTATTGTTTTGAATATTGTATTGAATATTGTTTTGAATATCATTTTGAATTTTATTGTTTTGAACTAAATGCATATTAAATTATGTGCATTCTTTGATTCTTTATAAAATATTGGCCTTGGGAATATTGGGTACAATAGCTTTAAAGGGATCTTACCTAGTAATCAAATAAAATCATTTTTGCAACTGTTATCAATGTTTATTTAAAACCTGACATTTCTCAACTAGCTCTAATTTTAAAATGGACCTAAATACAATATTAATTTCCATAATCTTTTAAAGTACATTAATTTTTGTTATCACAGAGGCCCATAGATTCAAATGGTCACTGTAGTTATCCACAAATTATATAGAGATATAAGAATAATCACCTTTCCTCACTCAGAATAACTTTGTAATATTACATTCCAGGTGGTATTACAACTTAGCATGGAAAACTTCTTACTCTCAAATATTGGTGAGCATTTCCACCCACTTCTCCCAGGAAGACTTTCTCTGGAAGATTCAGGCTTTCTCTACTTTAACAGATTCCTTAGTAATTAAACAGGATAACTTCATTCAAAGTTGATCTCCATCTCCCTAGTCACTAGCAATGTTAGAAAAAACTGTTTCATAAAATCTTCAAATGAGCGAAATTACAAGATATGATCTCATTCATTTTTAATCAATAATTGTAGTTCCTTTCTTCTTTGACCTAATTCACCACAACTCTGTGAAACCCCTAGTTTTGATTATTGATCACTGAAGAATGGAAAGATACCCTTAAACAAATAGCAGATATATAATGTAAAATCACCAGGGCATTTCTACTGTAGCATGTGTGTGGAAAGAAGAAGTTAAATTATACTTAAACTTCTTTTAAGTATCTCGT